ACAGCAGCAGGAAAGGACGACACATAACGAGCTCATATCCCTGGAACGACAGGTCGAGTCACAACACCCTACCCTCTCCCCCCAAGAATGGCAGCGGCTTACCTCCTCCATCCAAGAAGTGAAGAACCAACTTCTGCAATACGCGATGCATAGATGGCAAGGGATTAGGATCACAGGCAAAATGGCCAAACTAACTCACGATGCCTCAATGGATACCCAATTTTTCTCACTGGCCACTGCCCGTTCGCGTAGGACTGTCATTGAGGCCTTCTGTGACCCGGAGGATAACAATATCATTGCCACTGACACAACGCATTGCACATTGATCACCAGGACATTCTTCAAACAATTATACACGTCTCAGATCCCTTCCCCCCACGAGGAAGAACGAATCAGGGAGATACAAAATTTCCTGCGACCAATGGACCGACACAAATCCCCGTCCCAGCATGACAGCCTGGAGAGAGAGCTAACGAAGGAAGAAGTGTCGTCGACACTTCTCCAAATGAGGGAAGAGAAAACCCCGGGCATCGACGGTTTTCCCAAGGAATGCTGGGAAGCCACCTGGACGGACCTGAGCACTGACTTGTGGGAATATTATCGGGATGTATGGGAAGCCGGTGAAATGGGGGAAACCGTTGGGAAAGGCGTACTATCCCTTCTCTATAAGAAAGGTGACAAAATGAACATCAGGAATTATAGACCTATCACACTACTTACTGTGGTCTATAAAATGCTTTCCAAAGCACTGGCCAATCGTATGGCAACCGTCCTGGAGGACGTCATACATCCGGTGCAAACTGGTTTCATGTCCGATAGGAACATACAAGAGAACATCTTGCTAGTCAACGACGTGGTGCAGCTAGCGCGATGGCATTGGGCCAATGCGGCCATTACTTTCATAGACTTCGAGAAAGCCTACGACCACGTAGACTGGGACTTCTTAGATAGATGTTTGGAAAGAATGAACTTCGGACTGGTTTTCCGCACCTGGATTAAGATCCTCCATACTCATGCCACCACCTGTGTACAAGTCAACGGGTCACTTGCACCTCCATTTGAGCTCCAGCGCTCGGTGAGGCAGGGAGATCCGATTGCCCCCTACCTCTTCTTGGTGATAATGGAAGCACTATCTGCCAACCTTCGCCATCACAAGGACCTTATTCGAATCAAGATATCTAATATCCCCGAGGAAGCAATCCCTATCTGCTCCCTTTTTGCAGACGACCTCACCATAATGACAGATGCGACAGAATCTAACATGAAGGAAATCCAGCTGCTTATGAACAAATTTTGTCTACTATCAGATATGGCTGTGAATTGGGGACAGAAGACGATTGGATGGTGGATGCACCATCAAGGGGGAAGACCCCCGAAATTCTCGCGGATTACATGGTACTCTCATGATGATCCACTAAGAATCCTGGGGGCACTTGTCATCGCCAACGGGAAGCCATCATCCAATGATGAATGGTTGGCCGGACCGGCACGGTCCAAATTGGAAAAATGGAACAATAAACGCACCTCCTTTTTCGGACGAGCACTTGTGATAAATAATGTAGTCCTGGCCACCCTCTGGTACAAAGCCATTCTATGGCCCTTAAGTGCAGGGGGGATCAAGGCACTGAAACAACAGTTTGCGGCCTTCCTCTGGAGAGGTGACAACAACAAATCCCACGTCATAAGCCGTGTGGCATGGGAATCAGTGATTCAGCCCAAGAGTGGAGGAGGACTGAGAATTGTGGACCCGGCCACACAATTCCAAGCCCTCATGATTCGCTGGATTCAACACATTATCTTCTCCACATCATCCCCTTGGGTCCCCTTGGCCATGGCACAAATTTTTGACCTGGCCCCGGAAACCCCACCTGAGATCGATCCTAGAGTTTGGCTGGAAGATAGGTATTGGAGGTTGCCGAGGAAGTACAGGAACGGGGACCCTTCCGACAAACAATGGGTGCACTTGATACGCACCTGGAGGAACCCCCCCCCTCCCCTTCGATCGACACCGGAGAGGTGGGAAGAGATCTTCAGGCAACCCCTCTTCGGCAACCGACTAATAACGGATGCTGGTGGGATGGTGCGGAACAGCTCGGATGCCCCGTGGCAAGGCTGGGTAAAGCATGGCGTCCGGAGGGTTGGGGACCTTTGGGACAGGGAGACCGGAAACTGGAAGAGCATAGAAAGGATGCGTGCATGGCTGCGGTACTGCCATCGTACTGAGAAGGCACTCAACGACCTTATTGAGAGCTTCCCCCTCCAATGGTATGCCACCCTCAGAAAAGGCCCATGCTTGAAGGAAGGAGACTGGGTGGGGCTATCCGACCATGAGAAAGAGGTCGGGCATGTGCACCTTATCGGCTCGGGACATGCGCTAATAGAAGTCTTCTCCATCCAAAAGGACGCCAGACTAGATGGGAACCAACAACCCTTCATATGGAAAGAACAAAAGGATGTGGAGGAGGGATGCCACCAGAGGGTGTATTGCCCAATGACCCCCATCGAGGACCTCCCCTTAGATCCGAATGAGTGGCGATGGAACCAACGTAACCCGGCCAGGAAAGGGGAGGATAACACACTGGCACTACTCAATCTGAAAACTAAATCTGCCTACCGAATGTTCAGACCCAAATGCAGGCTGCGGGACTGCGTGGAAGACAGATGGTATCGCCATCTTCACATAGATCGTAGCCTGCTTAAGCCCATTCGATGGTTCGTTCACTATAGCTGCAGACCCGCCAAAATCTCAGCCCTCCAATGGCAAATTGAACATAGGTGTCTACCAACCAATGACTGGTTGATAGACCATACGCGTTTAGAGCAGCAAGGGAAAGCACTACCATGGTGCCACAAATGCCTGCAGAGCTTCCCTGGGACGAGGCGGGCGGAGACTATAGAACATATTTTTCTCCAATGCCCTGCGTCAGTGCTACTGTGGAGAAGCTGGGATAGGATTTGGCGACACATTGCTCCCGGTGTGACATGGCCTTGGGACTGGAGGGCCATACTCTTGGGATATCACCCTCTAATCCGGGGAAACACATTTGTGGAAAACATGTTCAAACTGGGTAGGCGGAGCGTCCTATGGACTATATGGTGGAAGCGATGCGTCCTAGAGATAGAGGGGGCGCAGGTAGAAGACGGAGAAGCTATGGAGCAAATACGAACATTGGTTCAATATGAAATTGCAACCCAATGGAGAGCAGCTAAAGAGAAGCTTGATCAGTTGTATACCTGGGGGGACATGAACAAGATTATCTCTAGATTCAGCAAAGACTGGCTTGGGGGAGATAGGGAGGGATGGGTGGCTGAGATAAAATGGTCTGGAGTCAACCGGAGTGCAGATTCCTGGGAAGAAATGGTAAGGGATTACCAGTTGATTTTCCATGACTGGATTAAAGTGGACCCGTGCGTCCCACTACGGCCAGCCCAGGACTTTGCAGACCCCTTTCCCCCCCACCTGCTGTCCCTGGCCGAAGCACTACCAGTGACATGAACCGGGACGCCAATAGACACACATCACCCATAACATAAGAGATCTCCGTGCTATCTATTTCACAACCGTTCCTTCTGTTGTTTTGAGCTAGCTGCTGGGCTCACAATCACTCACAGACCGTTTCTCGACTCAGCAGGCTGCAAGGCTGAGTCTCTGTATTGTCCAAATTTTCAGTTAGATGATTGTTGGGTTCAGAACCTCCTTCAGAACCTCCTATTGCTGTTGCTCTGGTCTGCAATCGGAGCACCTGCAAGGAGTGCAAGTAACGGATTTGAGATGGGTGGGGTAATGTGTTATCAAGGGACGCTGGACCCCGCCTACGTAAGCAACCACAACAGGCTGTAAGGCTGTAAGGCTGGATCTCTGTGCTGGCCATAATGTTCTGTTGAATGTTTCTTAGGCGGAGATGCTATCCATGGGACGCTGGACCCGGTTTCCAGCAGATACATTCCAGATGCATTGCTTTTGTATTTCGCTCGGTAATTTCATTCTGCATTTTGCATTCTGCATTCTCATTCCTGGGCGCCCTATGGACAGGGGGTGGATGGCAGGGGTTAAGAGATGGAGGGAGATTTCACTGGTGCCCCCCAGTGCCCCTCTCCAACTCTCGACCCAGCTGCAGTATAGGCAAGGCAGTGATGGTTTGACGACTTTGAGATGGGACGCTGGACCCGGTTTCCAGCATAGGGCGGCACCTGTTCCATTGAGCTATTAAAGATGTATTCAAAATGTATCATGGGACGCTGGACATGTTTTCCAACAGGTGAAGCTCCCCACCAATAGATGGAGCGGGCCGCCAGGCAAAGCCTCAATCTTGGTGGTTCTCTTACCACCACCAGGATGGAGGTCTTGCACATGGGGCCTTTTGGAAAAAAAAAAAAAAAAAAAAAAAGCCCTGACCCAGACACGTTCCCCTACCTGAAATGAGGACTGTCGACGATGTTTGTTCTCAGAAGCAATCATTGCTTGCTGAGCTTTCCTGATGTGCTCGACAGCTTGCTGTAGCAACTTCTCATACTGCACACCATACTCAAGTGTGCCCGGAGTTGCAGAGGGTCGGTTTTCAGGTAGGAGGAAGTCCAAAGCTGATCTAGGCTTCCATCCCAAGTGCAGCTGATTAGGACTAACGCCGGTACTGTTGTGTATAGCGTTGTTGTACAGGCTGGTGATGAGAGGCAACTTCTCATCCTAGTCATCCTGCCTGGGCTTGATGTAATGCCTCAACAGGTGTTGTACAACTCTATTCATCTGCTCGGCCTGTCCGTTGGCTTCGGGATGATTCCCTGAAGTCATCTGAAGTTGACTGCCCATTTGTTCAGCAGTCTTCTTCCACAACTCACTTGTGAATCGGACATCTCTATCACTAACGATTGACTTTGGTAGTCCAAAATCACGCACCCAGTTGTCCATAAACAACTTGATGACGTGTTCAGTCCTTGCGGTCTCTGGCATGGCAATTAGTCTAGCGTACTTGGTGAATCGGTCTATGATGACAAAGATGTGGCTCTTGCCACTCCTACTGGTCACCAGGGTGTCCATGAAGTCCATGGAAACACTCTGTCCCAGACCAGCGAGGATAGGTAAGGGCTTCAGCAACCCAAGCGGTGCTTGAGTTCGCGGCTTGTCCCGCTGGCAGACCTGACAGGTCTCCACATACTTCTTTGCATCTTCTAGCATTCCGGGCCACCAAAATCGTTGTACTAGATTGACACTCATCTTTTTGTAGCCAAAGTGTCCGGTTGCGTCATGACATTCTCCTAAGAATAAACTTCGCAAACGTTCACTAGATGGAACAACTAGCCTTTTAAATCCGGCCTTATCAAGAAAGAGAAGCCCGTCCACCATCACAAACTCATCTTCTGTGGCCTTGTCTTTTGCCTGAAGTTTGCGTATGATGTCCATCGTGATAGGGTCTTCCTGATAGGCTCCCACCAGCGATTGAGTTAATTCTTCAGATACACCAAACTCAGAAACTAGCGCCCCTAGGTAGTCTGCCCTACGTGATAGCGCATCTGCAACCTTGTTGTACTCTCCCTTCAGATACTCKAGCTTGAAGTCATAYTGATCTATGACCTCAATCCARYGCTTGAGTGCATWAGAAAGAGCCGGTTGAGTCTTGATCCATTTAAGGGTCTGATGGTCAGTTCTCAAATAGAAAAACCGTCCCAACAGAAAGTGCCTCCAATGGACAAGTGCCTTGTAGAGAGCATAGAGTTCCCTTTCGTAGGTGGACTTTGCCAGTTTCTTTGATGGCATCTTTTTGCTCATATACTCAATCGGTCTAAGCTTTTTCCCATCCTGCTGAGCCAGCACTGCGCCAATGCTGTATTGGCTCGCGTCAGTGGTTACAATGAAAGGCTTCTGAGGATCGGGCACCATGAGAACCTCATGATTCATGAGTGCATGCTTCAATCGTTTGAAAGCAGCCTCGCACTCATTACTCCAGTCCCACGGCGTGTCAAGTCGAGTTAGATCAGTCAAAGGAGAGGCGACTGTGGAATAGTTCTTCACGAAGTTCCTATAGTAGCCGCACATTCCTAAGAAAGATCTGACCTCAGTAACAGTCTGAGGTCGTGGCCAGTCCCTGATACTAGCCACCTTCACATCTTCCGACCTAATCCCTTCCAAGTACATAAGCAATCTTTGCCATCTGCATTAAACTTAATGTTCCTTCTTGAATTTTTATCCTCTAGGTTGACCTTATACTTGTGCTGTCGCAGGAGTGAAAGTACAATCTCAACGTGCTGTGCATGCTCCTCGACAGACTTACTAAAGATAAGAATATCGTCAAGGTACACGACGACAAACTTATCTAAGAAGTCATGGAAGATCCTATTCATGGCATGTTGGAATGTACCCGGCGCATTGCAAAGGCCAAAGGGCATCACTACAAACTCATACAGACCGTATTGGGTCTGAAAAGCAGTCTTGTGCTGATCCTTAGGTCTTATTGCAATCTGATGGTAGCCGGACTTTCAGTCTATCTTGCTATAGTACTTACATCCCTGCACCCTATCCAATAGGTCGTCTATGAGAGGTAGAGGCTCTGCGTTCTTCACTGTGATGGCATTGAGGCCTCTGTAATCAATGCACATCCTCAATGTACCCCCCTTCTTCGGTACAAATAGCACTGGAGATCCGAAGGGGGAAGTACTTGGCCGATCCATCCCTTTTCTGTCAGCTCTTTCAGTTGTCGCCGAAGTTCGTCCAACTCGGCCGGAGCCATCCTATAGATCCTTCCCTTTGGGGTTTTACTCCCTGGAATGATTTCTATGGCATGGACAACCTCCCTTTCTACGACTCCTGTAGGCTCTGTGAACAGATTAGGGAAGTTAGCAACGACGTGTTCTATCTCTGGGGTGTTTTAACGGCCTCCCCTTTCTCAGAGACATACACTAGGTACATACCCTCCTCTTGGTTCTGTTTGTAATAATTATAGAACGCTGATGCACACAAGCAGCCATAGGTTTCTATTAAACTACTGGCCTTGTACTTAGCTAGTCTCACGGTTCTTCCTTCAGGCAACTTGTGCTTTAGCACCTTCTTGTCCCAGCCGAACTGGGGCTTGGCAACCTCAAGGTAGTACATTCCTAACAGCATATCAAACGGTAAGTCGTCGATAACTAGGAACGAAATCTTATGATGAAGTTCCCCTCCTCCATAGGACAAGGTACAGACTACATCCTTGATATAGTCTGTGACAACCATGCGCTCCTTATTGGCCAAAGTAGATGCTACCGGTCTACTAAGGTGCTGTACCCGGTCCTGTAGGTGCAACCTTTCCAAGCAGTCGCGACTTATGTAATTCCGCGTGGAGCCGATGTCCACGAAGGCACCACATTTGCGGCCTCCTACAACAACTTCCATGACGAAATGTTCGCCTCTAGGACCTCTACTTAGTGCCACCCAAGATTCGCGAGGATCCTTGCTTGACCACTCGCTTTCCAAATCTGGATGAGTCTGCAGGGTGACTAAAGAGTCATTAGCTATGGCCTTCTCATGAAGTGGGGAGGGTATCTGACCCACTTCACCACGAGTAGAAGAAGCTAAAACTTCCACCGGCCTTACAAGTTTCCCGAGCTAGAAGCCTGGGAAGAAGGTACCCCTCCCTTAGGGGGTATCTTCTGTGTGACCTTTGCATTTTTGCACTTGTACTGGGTGTGTCCGTATTCACCACAGTTAATGCAAGCACCACGCGCTCGGCGGTTCCGCCACACTTCCTGATCAAGACCTGCCTTGACCCAATCAGCAACTTTGGCCTGATTGGAGGCAGCCTGCCCTTGACTCTTTTGATGGCCCTTCCCTCGGCCACCTGCCTTAGTCTTTACTACTGCGGCGAGGTGCTACCCTCAGCGGTTTCCTCGCCGTCGTACTCTGTACTGTCCAACAGGTCTGAAAGCTCCTCGATCTCGGTTTGGGTCCCATCAGACCAACCATCATCAATCGACTCCCCTTCTTCTTCCACTCTTGTGGACTCTTCTTCTTCCTCCCGTCTACTGGAGTAGGCTGAGCACTTCCTAGAGTAGCCTCTAAGTCTAAGGCCTTTCTAGAGAAGGTCTCAAACGAATGATACTCGAGGCGAGCCTCACTGGTCAGTCAGGTCCTGAGATTCTCAGGCAGACATCTCACGAAGATGGTCAATAAGACCTGGTCATCGTAGCGTATGCCGGGAACGACGATAAGGCTCTCTACAGTAGACGTTAGCTCTCTGACTGAGTTGTACTTTCGTTGGTCTAATTCGAGCATCGCATCAGTGGCAATTTGTGCCTGCTGTGGATTATGCCAGCGAGCTTCTACCGTGTCTAAGAACTCTTCTAACGTAAGGGTTTTAGCCCAGTCTGCCATACGTCGTCCGAACCCGCCCTTTGGTACTATTCCATCTAGCCATTTGGCTGCCTTACCCTCAAGGTAAGATGCAGCAGTAATCACCTCCTCCTCCTGCAAAGTCCTCTTTGCCCTTACCCACATTGGAACTGTTCTCAACCATGTGTTGAGTTCCTCGTCCTTCTTCTCTCCGGAGAAGGCAAGGGGCGGTTTCATAGGGGTCTCTGGGTACCATTGACCTTGCGGCTGTCCCTGTTGAGGAACAGGTTGTTGTGGTGATGGTGTAGCTGTCACCGCTGACCCAGAAGAAGAAGGAGCAACAGTCTGTGCGGCTGCTGCGGCTGCTGCAGACGTACCACTTGGCTGTGTGCCAGCTTGTACTGGAAAGGGGCCTGACATCGTCGTTAACGGCAACGGCGACTGTGCTGCTGGCCGTAATCTTGGCCTTTGCAAAAGGTCCAAGATCTGGTCCAAAGAGTTCAACATGAAGTCCAGTCTGCTGTCCACGTGCGCATGCAGCGACAATACGCTGTTCTTCAACACTTTCATTTGGTCAGTCATGGCTGACTCATCCAAACCCTCTAGTGCAGCTTTGTCTGCCTCTAACGTATCAAGCCTGGCTGTTCTATTTTTGATCTTCTTTCCTCTGTCGGTAGCTTGCTTCAGTTCCCTTTCTAACCGAGCGCGGATCCTTTCAACTTGTTGGAGCTCTAGGAGCTCCCTGCCGCGTGGGGTCAACGGGCTTAACTGCGAGCCCGCCATTTGACTTGTGGACTGACAAGAACTTACTACCCCGGAAGTACCCGTGGGCCCAGGGAGCATTCCCAACTGGGTCCCAGACGAGGACGCAGCAGAGGCTTCGCCGTTAGCCATTGCTGCTGCTCTGGCTGCTGCTGCCTGTTCTCTAGCTGCTGCGTTTGCTGCTGCCAACGCCTGACTTGCAGCTAGTGCTGTTTCCCTGGCTGCTGCGAGAGCACGGGCTCTATTTTCGGCACGAAGCCGTCTTTCGTCTCCCGGTTGTAAGGTCTGAAACACGTGCGGGACCCTAAGTGATCTCGAACGTGTCAGTCTCGCATCGTCAACTCCACCCTCATCAGTGTCTGACCCGCTCATCAGTTAGGCAAACACTATCTGCACTACAACTCCCTGCTGGAGTCCTACCATAGCATGTGTCTGACCGACACCTAATTTTCTAAAAATAAATGTGTCCGGCAGGTCCCCTACTCGACCGATCAAGTGGCAGCCTACAACATTCACAAAAGACCGTAAACATAGTTGAGTTCTATCATGATTAGTTCACTTACAGGCGTTTTGCATAGCACTGGCTATGGTAGTATACAACAGTCTTATACTAAACTGTCTGTGAGGTGTTAGCAGTCCGTCAACCAACTAATCAATAATAAAACCAGACTATGTTGCAGATGTAAGAACAGTGGATATGGTTATGTTTACAGTTGAGCACCAAATTGGAACCTACCCTCCCCTCAATCCAACATACCGATGAGCATCATTGAGCGGCAGTGTCACAGGTGTGCAATGTCGGCCCACCCCTGTGCCCCAGGTGCATGCTTATGACCAGGCTTGCCCTTTCTTTATCCTCGCGTGCAACGAGCCGTACGTCCGATTGATATGGCTGATCAAGAGGCCTATTTAAGGACTGCCCCCAGGGTCGCTCAGGAATTATTCACCGTCGCAATCAGGACGACAATCACAGCCAGTTATCTGATCGGAACCGCATCCAGAAATGTTTATAGACGGTTTGGGAGCGTCTGCATAAGCCTGTTTAGTCCGCACACCCCTCTATCAACGCAGCAAAAGTGCCCTCAAGGACAAAGCAGCCATGGCATGCGTGTACTATTCCCATTGGGTTGGCATGGTGACAGTAACCCATGCGCTTCGACCAGGGCCCTTCAGTGGCACCGCCCTTTCTCCTTCCAGATGCTTCACCAGGAAGATTGTCGTCTCTCAAGGTAGAGCGCACACGACACCTCACCAAAAGAGAGGACTCTCAAGTTGGACTCACTTCCTCGCGGTAAGAAGAGATTGAGAGAGTAGATAAGGTAAGGGAACAACGTACCTGGAGATAGCTGCCCCCAACCACAGATTTCTCACCAATTGAGCTGAGTGTGCATTTGATGACCGGTCGTAGCCTCGGTACCACCCACAACGCAATGCAGTGCCACCTCAGCCAAATGCCACATCAGCATGCTCTCATCACCAATCATACATTCCGCTGTCACCACGGCATCCCAAGCCGTACAGCCTTCCGGCGCACACCTCTCTACCCAGGTCGTGCACCTAATGTTGGCCTGACGTCACAAGAACCAACTGCGAAGAAGCATCGTCAACGCACCAAGTCTGTATAACGCCAGCGCACCAAGGTAAGCGGCGAATCGAACCAGCTCCGATACCAAAATGCAAGGAACATGAATATGGACGAAGCACAGAAATCCAAATTGCAAAATCACACTGAAGTCCAAGTAGTCAAAGCAAGAGCAGATAGCACAATGGAACCAAGTAACCATCTATTTGAGAATGATACAGCAGAATCGTGAGTCAATGTCCAAGCCCAATCGGGCAACACCAACAGCATAACCCAATGTAGCTCTCTCTCTTGAATGGCGTCAGGCGCCCTATCTACTCTACAGCCTAGCACTACAACTACAGCATGGAAGCAACCAGACAACTTGACAACCAGTGAGTGATGACGTCAACACCAATGCCGACCTCCTCTCCACCAGGTACGTCTCTCTCTTCACCCTCACTCTCCCTTGTTATCCCACACAGCGCCCTTCACCTTCCGAAGAACCACCTTCGCCCTTCACCTTCTCTGCGCCCACAGGCAGMCCGGCTATGGCCGCCAGCGCCCTGCGCCCAGGCTGCGCTCTACCGCTTAGCGCCAGCCTGCCCCACCTCAGCCTAGCGCAGCGCAGCACCTCGCAGTGCTTCAACGTGCCAGCATTGCTCGCAATGGCCAAGATCCCTGCCCACTCGCCCTCTCTGCCTATATGCCAGTGTTGCGTGTGGGCGGCCTCCCCTGAGCCTGCGMCTGGGCCCCAGTACCTGTACCCAGGCCCAATGCGGTTGGGGCCCACGAAATACAGTTGCGCCTCTTTCATCAAGSCCTGCGTCCAGATTCAGATAGTGGACCGGTTTCCCATTGGCATTTTTGGCCTCTATATTCAGCATGCATTGTCGGCCTCACGTTTATGTGCCCAGGGCCTAACCAATTCGGGGGCCCTGGTCCTTCTGCATTTGCAGAGATCCGGTACTTGGTGCACTCCAACCAACTGGCGTGCAGCAACTATATGGACCCCACTTCGTGAAATGTTTGAACAAAGGGGCTCTCGTTGATTTGCTGGCCCGCCTTCACTTAGGGCGGGCACGAGGCTTGCTGGGGGCCTTAGCCCAGAACATGTACATCACGGCAAGGCCCCTTTGAGGGCTCAATCCTCACACTACTAACCTATCACTAAAACTAACACTACCATCTGATTCGCTCGGGGCAAAAACCCCGGGGTCGCCTTTTCTCTTTCTCGTTTTCGTTCGGAATCGAGAGTGCTATGCCTTCTCGATCGCGCCCGGCTCCTCCCTTCGCCATCACCCCTTGCTGTCTCCCCGTATCGAATGCATCTGGCCCGAACTGACGCCCAGGTTCGCCCCGCCTGCCGCTGCGCAGCGCTGCGCGTTCAACTCCGCTGCCTGCTCTCCGTCGGCCAGTCGTCCACCAGCCCGTCCCTTTTCGTCCGCTCCGTAGCGCTCTCACCAGCCCGTCCCTTTTCGTCCGCTCCGTAGCGCTCTGTGACGATCACTCCTACCGCAGCATGCAGTTCTACAGCATCCCGTAATTCACCATCTGCTCCTGCTGACATCACCCCGGTCCTCCAATACTGTGCGGTCCGATGATCATTCAGGCGTCAAAAAAGAAAAAGCGCCCGATAGTCGGACCTTCTCTTTATTTATGCATGCCACCCTTGCGAAGGTGCCATACTAATCTTCGCTGTATCGTTCCAATTTTAAAGGATGTCCCATAGGACTCAATCGGGGCAATGCCCCTCGGTACTACTAAAGGACACATGGCCCTTGCGCCGGGCCTCCTTTGCCTGGGTCTGACCGCGGCCCGCATTCCAACCGTTCATAGGTGTACCCACCGAGCTTAGGCTTTCGGGTCAGCGGCCGGTCCCGGAACCAGTACCGGACTCTCCAAAAAAAAAATGAGACCGATGGGTAGGGGAGGAAAAACCCATCGGTACTTCCTCGGTCCTGCCAGGCGGGCCCGCGATCAGACTCCCTCAACAAAACAAAGGGGGATAGCCCCGCGGGACCCTCAACCCCTTAGCTTCTCCAACGCTCCACTGCTCCTGTGCCGTCGCCCGCTGGCCTCGATCCTCGCACCTCCGTGTCATAAGTCCAATGCCATAACCTATAGGGCTAAGCCCAAGCCTGAGACGAGCGCGTGCAGGCTCCTATATAAAGGGGTGCAACACGACGCTCGGGGCCGTGACGGTTGCAGCGGGGAAAACACTCAAGTAGCGGGAGTAGGCCTGCGACACTTAAGAGCAGTGGGGAAACACACTCAAGTAGTAGGTAGGCCAGTACTACTCAAGTACCGGTAGATGTGTTGGGGACTGGAGGCCGAGCAGAAGAAGACAAAAAGTTGGCATTTTTAAAGGCCCAGTAGCGGTAGGCTAGGTCTAGGCGCGTACCAGTCCAAGTAGTCTGAGTCTGGGGTCTGTGCGGACAATATCAGAGCCTGCAATGATGTTTCCCTCTGAAAGGGAGGAGGTACCGGTTGCTTGGAGGCCGCGCGGCCTGGAAGTCACCGCCTAGGAGGCAGGTTCGCCGCTGTATCTCCAGGGTGAGCGAGAGGCTCAGCCTCATTTGCTGCACGCAAGTTTGGGCAACATGCTGCTGGAGCGCGTGCTGGAGCAGCGCTGTGGGGAAGGAGTGCCCAGCTCTCCACCTTGGCTATGGTGGAGGAGATCGACAGGAGGAGGAGGAAGAAGGGGGCTGCTGGAGGTGAGCGCCAGGGGCACTTACCTGGCTATGATGGACGCCATCTTCATCACCTTGGTGGGCGCTGCATCTGGAAGGCCCCCGTTGGGGTAGAGCTGCATCAAGAAGCTTCGAGGCAGAGTCAGGCATGGCGGCCTGAGTGGAAAAGGCCATAGCTACTTTGCGTTGCCCTTTGCACATCAGGGCAAGGCCCTTAGTATTCCGCCATAGCCTCGGCCTAAGTGAAGAGGAAGGAGATGGGCGCCCATGGCTATTGACGCATGCTCAGGGAAGCAATGCGCAGTAGACCAAGAATCCGCAATGTGATGAAAAGGACTGAAATGGACAATGCAAGATCCGCGCAGCATCAACAAGCAATGTACATTCTGATACATACAAGATGGCACAAAGTGGCACAGCGGAAGGTTTGAAGAGAAGATCTGATCTGATCTGGACTGACCCGACATCCATCACACATCACATGTGGGAGAGTGGGAGGAGGGACCGCACACATGGAAGAAAGGTCCCTCCTGTGCACACATACATAGGGAGGTACCACAGATGAGAGATGGGGGAAGGGGCGAGACGAGGAGGAAGGAGGCGAGGGAGTAGACCAAGATCGCAATAGCGAAGCCCAGAAAAATAGTCCCTTGCCGAGTGTCCAATCAATGTCTGTCCCAGAAATGTCGAATCAGATCCTGGGCAATGCGCCCAGCATAACCTCTGCCTGAATCCCTACCGATAACCTCTCACACTCTCAGGTTCGAAGAAGAAGAGATAAGGAGGAGAGAGAGAGAGAGAGAGAGAGAGAGAGAGAGAGAGAGAGAGAGAGAGAGAGAGAGAGAGAGAGAGAGAGAGAGAGAGAGAG